TCTCTGTCAAATAAATAAATAAAATCTTTAAAAAAAAAAAAAAAAGAATGTATGCTCATTTTACAATTTAAAGCTGGGGGGCGGGGGAGGAATAAGAGCACCTTCCTCATAAGATTTTTATTAGAATCACACCTGACACACAGCTACCACTCAATAAATGTGACTAATAGTTATTATTGTATTTTCCATTTCAACAAATACTTTGTTATATCCCCAACACATGTACTAGTGCCAGGAAGTTCATGTTTGCTTTTAAAAAAATTCTGTCCTTCATAATGGGGAAGCATCAGATAATTTTCCCACTTATACTAAATTGAAATTGTACTACATTTTCAAAATATCTCATCAAATACAGCCACATTAGAGTACTAAAAAAATGAAAAAGGAATTTAAGACATAAATCACTGCCCACTGTAACCTCATGAGATCCTGAATATTACAGAGCTCCAAAAGAGTATTTGATTCCAATCCACTCTAATGCTAATAAATGTATAAAAACAGATTAAATGCCTTTTCATCTAACTTTAAAGTCAAAATTCTTGCAATATTCACTACAAAAGTCAAAATGCACACAAAATTAATAACGTGTAAGTTAATATCAGGCTATATTTATACACCCATGAAATTCCCACTTCAAATCCCCTGTCCACATAAAATAGCTGGTATTGAGACAGTGTTTCTTAAATGTTATTTTTTATCTAAACCCTCTCTGAAAAACTTGTGAATCACTTTTTAAAGATGAACAATTCTTATTTACGGATTATACTAATGTTAAATAATTTGGTTTAAAACTAGTCTTTAAATCAACTAAAGTTCTTTGGCATGAAGGCAATGTTTTGTTGTTGGCTATCCATTCATAATTTTAAGTATTTCGGCAGCTAGAACCAGAACGAAAGTGACAAATCAATCTGTTACAATACCCCCATTCTACCTCAGTAATAAATAGTATAACTGCACCAAATTTAAAGTTTTGCAATCTGAATTCAGTTATATACTCTGAATGAGCATCAAACAAGCATAGGACAGTCGTCGGGAAAAAGATTCCGAGTCTACTAAAATAAACAGTAAGATGCTTGTTCAATTTGTTTAAACAAAGATACTCTAAATTAATGATAAAAGGTATGTGACTAACCTCTAAAATTTAGAATTCGTGACAGTAGATACTGTTTATTTATTTCTAGGCAATCAAGTTTTCCTGATGGTAGCTAGAGGCCTTATACTTTGAAAATCCACTGCTTAGCCTCATCCTTTCATAGAGTATATGTTCAGCAACTACTCAAATTGTACCATCTAATCCTCATACCAACCTTAAGCTATGCATTATCTTAATACAAAAGAAACTGAGGCTGAAAAGATGGATCCAGGTCAACTGGCACATGGTGACCTGGCTTAATACCTTGCCCTAGTCACAAAGCTAGTGGCAGTGGCAGAATCTGATTTCAAAATTCTATTTTTCCAAGTATACCATCTCATCTAAATAGCAAACATATAATAATTATAAACTCAATAGTTACTTAATTCTTCTCAAATTATATTCCTTTATTACTGCTTTTCAAGGACAGAAATCCTTAGGAGCTTCAATAGGTCCCTTCAATATTTTTGCAATAGACATTTGATCCAGCATTTATTCCTTCCTTCCCAAGAATCCCAGATTTCTGATTTGAGACTCTATTTGGGGATCTTTGTTGTTCTAATGAAGTCACTGTAGAATAGGAGTCCAATCAGGGCACTATTCAAGGTAGCTATATGACCTGAGTGAATTGCAGAACTTCTGGAAAAGTTGGGACATGATATAAAATAAGGCAATATGCAGCCCCAGGAGCTGGAAGCAGCCATCTTTGGATGAGAGAAATCTAGGCAACATCATTAAGCCACTGGAAAAAGTCTTACTTAAAAACAGAAAAATCCAAACTCATAGACTTTTGTAAGAGTGCTTCTCGTTTCAATGTTCTTTCACATACTGTTCCCTAGTCATGGAATATCCTTTCCCCCTTGTTAATACCTTCCATCTACTGGGCAGCTATTATGTACCAGGCATCAGGTGAGACGTTAAACACATGCTATCTCTAATACTGAAAACTAATCTACATCCAAAATCTACAAGGTAAACCTTATCCTCACTATTCATGGATGAGAAAATTCAAACTCAAGGAGACTGAGTGACATTCTCAATACCACACAGCTAATAAGCAGAGCAAGGATTTAGGACCAGGTTTATCTAGCTCACAAGTACTTGTTCTTTCAACAACATGAAGCAGTCAGCCACATGGATCTTGTCTTTAAAGGTCTTTGCTCAGGCATCAGATCTTCTGTGAAGCTTTCTCTACCCATTTACATATTTCAGGGATAGCTCATTTAGAGAAAGGAAATATTACAACGTGTCATCACTGTTTACATATTTAAAATGCAGGATCCAAGGAACACCAGTACCTCCCACAATGTATGACACAGGCCAGTCAAGCAATAAACATTTGTAAAATCATCAGTGAATGGAGATATGAAGCCCTATCTATTACAGATTAAATTATTTAAAATAAACAATTGTCATTATACTGAGATATCCTCTTATATACAATGTTTCAGAAATGTGGGTTTTAGGAAGAAAAGTGTAAATATTTCTTGATCTCATACATTTGCTGCATAGACTAAATGTTACCCTGCGAGATATAAGAACCACAGAGAAATGTCAGAAATTCAAAACAGTAACTATATACATTTTTTCCAAACCAAGTATCTCATATGTACCAAAGGAGCTTGTGTTTAGTAAACAAAGGACATATTTACTATGCACATAATAAAAATCAAATACACTTAAAACACTGGACTGTTGGCTTCGTTCTAGAACCAAAGTTGCCTAATCCATGTCACTTTATCTGTAAGTGAAAAGTATGAACCAAACTATCTCCTAGATTCCACCCAGCTCTATGATTCCGCTGTAATTCAATAATATCACTAATTGTCAACTTCTCAGAGTGCTTCCCTAACTACAATCTAAAAGTAACCTCTCAAACAAGGTCTCTGCTATCATACTATTTTAGTGCATACTTATCCCAGACATTTTTCTCATTTAATTACTTACGTATTATTATCTCCCCTAGTAGAATGTAAGCACCAAAAGAACAGGGATTTTACTGTATTCATCAGCACATCCCAAGGCTTCACAAAGAACACAGTAGACACCCGGTGTATGTTTGTTGAGTTATTTCCATTCAAAGACTAATAATGCCTTGTTGCCCAACATGAAGAAAAAAAAGCAAATCGTGCACTGCTGGGCATGTCCTGCATTTTCCAAATATTTTCTAATATATTATGGTACTTTGCCTCAGTATTAATCTTACAAAGGTTTTTTCTTGGCGGGGGGCGGGGGTGCCCAAATTACTTTATATGAAGGAATGCTACAAATGAAGAACCTAAGTATATGTTTTGGTGTAACAAAGGTTTTAAGTGACTACTTTAAATACAAGATAATTAGTACATAAAAGCAACTTATCAGTTCCAAAATCATCCGCATACTTTCCAAAGAAAATTTCAGAGAAACAGAGTAACAAGAATCTTATCAAAATAATAGCTTAATGAAGCAAAGAAGAATACAATCCAACCCAATAAGTCAAGACGGTAGTCTCCATTTTTCTGAAGCAATGCTGTCTTCCCATCTCTCCCAATTTCTGTTTACAGCCTGATACCGATACTGATAAGAGAAGTCTTACAGACACCACCACAAGTACAATGACACAGCTTCTAGTCAGTATCCTGTTTCCATTAAAACTTTCCCCAAACTCAAGACTCTCTTTGGACCATAAAGCTAAAACCCTACCACCTCACATCTGCTTCTCTTCCTCTCTCGCAATTAAGCCTGTCGAACTTTTCCCTTGGGATTCAAATCTCTGCCATCAAGACATTTTAATCCCACTACTATTCCTAAGTGCCTGCTTTCTCCCAGTGACCTCGGTACTCTCCACCCGAGGGAAAAAAAGCCCAGGCTACGCATCCTTGCTCTTTCCCACCCTAGCTTCTCCCCCACCCCCTCTCCGGGCGCCCGGCAGGTGCCTCGTTGGGGACCTCTGCGCCCCGGCCGCCGAGAGGCGGGGCACACAAAAGACCCGCACGGCCCTCCCCAGCCTCCTCCGGTCTCTCCCCTACAGCCCCAGCGGATCAGCGCCCTGGAGAGCGGAGGCCCGAGGGAGGCGGCGCCGGCTCCGCGGGACCAGCGATGCTCGCCTCGAGCGCCCCTTCCTGATCCCACCTTCGCCCACGCCCCACCCACGAAGGCTGCCCCAGGTCGGGACCCTCGCCCGGAGAAACCGAAAGCGCACCCCCAGCCCGGAGGCAGGGGCCGAGCGCATCCC